GATCATTTTTACTGTAAAATAGTACTAGTTTTAAATTTATCCTGTAATTTTTAACTGTAAAATTTATTTTCTTATTTCTGCTGCCGGAAATATATAAGCAAATCACTATATTCGTTAAAAGCATGAACAGTAGCCCAAGCAATTTGCGCGTAACCCCAAATTACATTTTTTTTTTGAGGTAATGATTGAAATATTCTATGCATTTTTAAAAAAAAAATTAGGTAAAATTGGTTTGATGAAATTATTAAAAAAAGTAAAACAAAAATGCAGTAGAATTTTTCGTTTCTTTCTATTTCCATTTTTTAAAAACAGTAAAAAACATTAAATAAATTTTAAATTAAAAGTTACTTTTAACAATTTTCCTTCCCCAAACAGAAAACCCCGTTAAAATTTAAAAAGGGAGCTACTGTTTATTTTGCGGGGAAAAACAAGGGAATTTGGGGAAATTTGGCCCGAAAATTTTTTCACGGGTGTTAAGTACCATAAATTTTAAAATTTTCCAATGACCACGTGGTTGATGTTTTTTGGGGCACCCCGTTTTTACACCATTTAATAAAAGTGGGTTTAAAGGGAAAATTTTTTTTAACTTTTATTGTTGAAAATATTTTCCCTTTTGGGGCTTATTATGCCAGTAATTCACTCAAAAAAATATGAGAGAACAAAATGATGTACCGGTATATGAAATTTGAGACTTATAAAACATTTGGAGCCTGAATCCCCCCACTGACGAAACCCCCGTCAATTTTTTTATTTACCAAGTGTTAAAAACATTAAACAAACCCTGCCATACATACAGGATTAATCTAGAAAGAAAATTCCTTTACAATGCGTCCGGATGACGCCACATGTTTTTGAAAAAAAAATTGAGTCCTTTAGCAAAATCAAATGAGTTCATGTGTAGCAAAATAAAAGCTGTGCATTATCCATTTTTTAATTGTTCGGTAAAAAACATTTGCACAAAATGTCCCTTGGTCACACTGTATACAATTTACTGACGACTTTTATTTTTCTTTGTTGCCTCTGTGTATAGGGAAAGCATACACAGAGACAGACCTTTTGATCATGAAAAAAAAGTCATGTTTCCCTGTCAATATTCTGATGTCACGTAATAGACATCTTTTTTTTTCTACACTCCGCGTGAACTTGAGTGACCTTAGGGGAATTCAATTTACACACCTGTCAGATTATACTGTAACTTAGAGCATTTTCTTAAAAGATAGCAACACGTTTTTTTCAGTTACCGATATTTATTCAAAGAATTAAGTAGATTAATGATTAATGATTTTTGTTTTGCTTTCATTGGATTAAATTTACGGTAGTAGAAATGGAAAGGGATGAGGTAAGTAAATCTATAACTTGGAAAAATGCTAAAGGAAATGGATAAACTCAAGAATATATTAATTACAGCGGGAATGGTAACCTGTTTGGTACCAGTTTTGTCTGGATGACTAAATAACATACAATATAAGTCTGGCACAGATTTTAGATGCACCCCATGGCATTTCTGCTGACGATTTTCCTGTGCCATTCTCATTTTTTAGCGCCAATGGCGCAGGCAGATCTCTGCATATTTCACCATTGTCATGCAAAATGGACGATCTGATTGGCTAATGCCGATAATGGGCGGTTACCGATAGTCTTACACCTGTAATCATCGGAAATTAAATTATTCAACTGAAGAAATTGAAAAATTATTCAACTGTAAAATTAAAGTTATGAAACAGTACATAGATTATAAACCACCTAATTTGCATGCGTCAAATTGAACGCACATATTTTGAAACTGTGCGTCTTTTTCGATTTTTATGCGTATTTTACGCAAGACGCACATCTAGATTAATCACTGACATATGCACGATACTTTGCTAATTGCTAACAATTCTCGCATAATTGATAACCTTTTGTCAATATCATAATTATGAAATATTTGGATTGCTTTTGATGAAATATTAAACAATGTATAGGCAACAAACAATTATTGAACAAGAAGCGCCGCAATGCGACGAAAACCAGGTTTTCAACGACCAAGTTTTGAGGTAACAGCAATCAATAGGTCAAAGTTATTGAGTAGAAGCTGAAAATTCTATTGTAAGCCAGTGTTTTTTTTTCTTTATATAACTACTACCCTAAAAGGGTACTGTTCCCAATAGAAAATATACATTAAAATTCCCAATTTCCAATGTTTAAATTCCCAAAATGGTTATTCAAAATTCCCACAAGGCCAAGAAATTTCTCTGAAATCATTTAAATCCAACATATTCATATAAATCACCACTTCATAGTTCCAACTTGACAGTGGAAGCTGTTAGCTATCTTTATTCATGATGATTAATCTTATTTGTAGCTGAAAAAATGCATTAAAAAATATTCCCACTATAAGTCAAAATAACGCATTTTTTCCCAATCAGTCTGGTACCGGCACCATTCCTAAAGTAGAGAAAAAAAACGCTGTAAGCAAATGACCTTGACCTTGCTCCCAGATATCTAAGTGGCAATCCAAGGTAAAAGCAAACTCAAGTTATTGAGCAGAAACTGAATTTCTATTTTAAATAACAGTGACCTTGACCTTGAACACAGACACCTGGGTTGCAATCCCAAGCTGCCTCTTGATATAAGCTACCTACACACCAAGTTTGGTGTCAATAGGCCAAAGCAAACTAAAGTTATTGAGCGGAAATTGAATTTCTATTTTTAGTAACAGTGACATTGACCTTGATCACAGACACCTGGATAGCAATCCTAAGCTGCCTCTTGATATAAGCTATCCATACACCAAGTTTGGTGTCAATAAGCCAAAGCATTCTGAAGTTTTTGAGCAGAAACTGAATTTCTATTTTGAGTAACAGTGACCTTGACCTTGATCACAGACACCTTGGTAGCAATCACAAGCTGCCTCTTTGATATAAGCTATCCATACACCAAGTTTGGTGTCAATAGGCCAAAGCATTCTGAAGTTTTTGAGCCAGAAACTGAATTTCTATATTTTAGTAACAGTGGACCTTGACCTTGATCACAGACACCTGGGTAGCAATCACAAGCTGCCTCTTGATATAAGCTATCCATACACCAAGTTTGGTGTCAATAGGCCAAAGCAAAACTAAAGTTATTGAGTGGAAACCAAAAGTTGACGACCGCCCGCCCACCCGCCCGCCTGCCGACTTCAGCATTATAATAACCCGGTTTTCATTGAAAAACCTGGTTAAAAAGTAACACAATGATTAATGAAAGATAAATAAATTAATAAAATAATATAATATGATAAAAACTGTTTATGAATAATCCCCCTTGCGGCAGAAATGTTGTCCATTTTTCCGCCATAATTTAAAATATCTTTTACAATATCCTATTTTCAACATTTTTCTAAAATAAGAAAGTTTAAAATGTTATTATTGAAAATTTATGCTGTTAAAATTAATACAGCAGAGTCAGAAATAGATATAAGTGTATATGAAATTAAAACATAGAAGTGGTGAGAGCAATAAGAAGAAGGTAGTGAAAGATTGTCAAAAGAAGAGAGGGGCTTCAAAAGGGCTTGCGCCCTTCCATCAGAGCCCAGGAATCATCCTACAGGTATTATCCTACAGGTAAAGGAAAAGTAAATCATTTTTAAAAGACTGTTACTTATTATTCTCAAATTCTTTAGTTATGTTCAGACATAAGATCTACCCGTTATGCAAATCTTCATTTTCCGTTGCGCTGAAATTATGTGTCCATTTCGCCGTCCATTTAGAATTTGATATATTCAGTACGCTACCTAATAAAATGTATAAAATATCAACAATACAAACTTATATGATTATTTTATGGAAATTAAAATGCTCCGTTTTCGCAATAAATCCATCGGCCTCGCAACGGAGTTTATGAAAGTGATATAACAACAATGCAATGAATGTTTATAATAAAAAAAATACATAACATTGATTTTTGTAAATATCAACATATGACTTTTTAGTATACACTAATGCAAATTCAATTAAAAGTAACTTTGTTTGCCTAGTTTTGAAAAAAAATAAAATCTCCGTTGTGCCAATGAATTTTTTTGTGCAATGGAGATTATGAGCGGTATTATTACAACAATACAATGCTTATAATATAGAAAATATTGTTTTTACATGATTTCTATCAATTCAAAATATTATTTTATTCAGCACATATTAATATAAATTTAAAAATGCATTGCTAATCGTATTTTATTGCCACATTTTAAATTTTGCACTCCGTTGCGGCCATTGCACCAATAATCTCCGCTGCGTATTTTAGTGGTACCACAAATTGGTCTACAATGAAGGTCAGAAATTTTGGGTTAAATACATGAAATTGTGCTTTATAACCCAAATTCGTTAGAGAAGGTAGGGTGAAAAATACAGAAATAACTCTTAGAAAATAGAAAAAAAAATAGATCACAAAACGAGGGGTAATTACCCAATATACACAAAATGTTATCTGTTAAGCCCTGGTCCACCAAATTTAATTTTAATGATGTTTCCTTAGCTCAAAAATACAACAGTGAATTAAAATTAAGTTCTACGTCAGATGTTAAATATACAATAATTTGGACAAGTTTTACAAATTAATAGAACTGAATAATGATAAATCTATAAAATCGCGAAAATACATGACACTGAAACTATTGACACTTTATCTGTCAGTTAAGCCTATAAAATAATCAACTCGCTACATTAAACAGATATTCAAAGAAATCTTAAAAATCACTAAAATATTTTCCATATACAACAACAACAACAACAACAATGGCGACCAATGCGGTCATGCCGCTTCCGTCGGGAATAGTAGATACGCTAGAATCTGCTCTTAATGTTATAAAAACGCATGCAACGAGACAGGTTGTCGATTTTGTGTGTACACATCAAGCAAAGGATTTGGTAATTCAAGTGAGTACCGATAAGGTGTACTTTTCCGTGTTGGTTTTAAACGTTTTGATAAAAAAATCTTAAGGTGATTCCGCATTGTCAGCCATGTTGGATTACCACTATGTGGGTGCAAATTGAAATAAGATTAAACTTTTATAAAGACAATTGTCATAATGTCAAAAGATGAACCATTTGCAATAAAACTTTAAAGAGAATGCATTTATGAATAAAATTCATAAATTTAAGAAATATAACAATAAAAATATTTACCTGTAAAGTGTTCAATTTCTGAAGACCAAATTCAATCTTGTATAGGGTTTTATTCACAATTCATGAATGGCAATATCCAGATTAAAGTCTTTATTAGTGCATACAAAAACTATCTTCTTGAAACAATGAGAATAAACCTGCAAAAAATTAATCCAAAATAAACACTTTTTCATGTCCTTGAAAATTCCTATCCTCCATATTGTGTGTAAAGAAAGTAGTGCAAGCTATATAAACATCAATTATGTATGTATGGTGTACAGGACAGACCATCTAAATTTACTGATAACATATAGGAATTATGAAGGTTAATTTTACATTTCAAAGCAGTTTACATTAGAAAGTACCATTGTGTATATATGTGAACTGAGTTTTGCTTTACTGTTTTAACCATGCAAATATAAGGGATTTTTTAGCCCAGAAATCCAATAATTAATAAATATGTGATGAACTGAGAACAAAATTATTACAATTTCCTTTTTTCAATTTCTTCAAAATTCATAAAGAAAGGTCTATCATTGCCCAGAAATGCTTTTATTTATCTTCTGGAATGTTTTTCTTTTAATTTTTGATGTCTTTGTATATTTTTAAAGTCAGTCATTGGTCAATTAATTGGACATCTTATGCTAATGTATTTTTTTTAAACTAATGCAATTATTTAATTAGTCTTTTTTATTGAATAAAAATAATCTTTTCTTAAATTTCCATAACATTATCACAAATTTTTTCATATTTCAGTGCTACTTTTCTCCATGTTATAAGTATGTAAGATGCTGGAAACCATTATTTAAATGTAATTAAACTTATTTTTGGTCCTTGTAAATATTTAAAACATACAAAATCATCAATATAAAGCTGTTGTTGCCTTAACATGGTATAAGATGAGGTTTTAATTTTCATTTTACCCTGCAAGCATTCAATGAAAATAATATTTTAAATTTACTGGCACAAATTCCACTTTTGAATTTATTCTACTGTATATGTAATTAAATTTCATTAAAATTTACAATGCTCCGAACTAATTTTACTGGCCACGGGCCACCACACATAACAAACATTTACATAGTGCTGCAAGTAATTCTAAAATAATTATTTTTTAATGCTGGTTGTTTTACTGTTTCTAAAAATAAATAAGATAAATTGTATACACAAGAAATTAATTCTTTCCTTGACTGGTATGTAACTATTCATAAGAATATGAATGTAGTATTAAAAATAATTCAATTGATATACATATTAATTTTTGTTTATATTCAAAAATAAACCATCAAATGTGTAGTGTATGTATTATATTTGTACGAGAACTTTATATATAAATCAGTAGCACAAAAACCAGTGAAGGTGACATCGCAAATTTGTACCTTTATTGGTGGAGGAAGGCCTCAAATGCCCCTCTGTAATTAATTCCGGCACAAACAGGCACCTGAGTAGAAACACCAATGCTAAGTAATATACCTGTAAAGCTTTCTGACAATGAAAAACCCAGACATGCTGGCAACGCTAACACTTACAGTGCTTACAGAAAAGCACTTAAAAAATTTGGCAGTCTTTCAAATTATCATTGATATATATTGTTTTTGATTAATGTCTCTATTTTTTTAATTATTTGAAAAATTTTACCTTTAATTTATATATCAATAAATTTCAATGATCCATCAAGGAAATCAATTTGTAAATCCTCAACATCATAAGATTCATCTTCACCATCATATAAAAGTTGATACACAGCATGTGGGTTACCGTCTTTCCCTTTGGTTACTGAAAGTACTGATCCAGTATACCAGTTTAATGAACCGTCATCTAACTTCCACTGATGATTTATTCTCCTTCCAACAAATTTCTGTTTCCTGATCCTGTCAATTCATTTTGATGTCATATTATTTCAAGGAAAAATACTTATAATATTGCAAATAAAGCACTGATATATTTAAAATCTGTTTTGTTCCAGGTTTTGAATATAAATTGACTTAAGTGCAACGTCATATACTATAAATAAAAACTAATACATATTTGTATTTTTTTATTTAAATGTGAATATAATCTGTTCGTTGATAAAATGATAATGACATGAACATATATGAAATTTGTTTTCTGTTAATCTTAACACCATTGCTGTGGTTCTTGCATTTTTCTAAGTTCATTAATGATTAATTGTATTTGTAAACGTTACTTTTCATCACTGTTACACACCTTTATTTCATGCTTTTTCCAGTGTATATATTGTATTATATGCATGATTTATTGGATAAAAACCAATAGTGAAATTTTATAAAATTATTAATTTTTTCACGTAGCGGATTATATCTGAATGCGGATAAAAATGAAAATCAAAACTGAATGGAATTAACAAGGCAACAATTAAATGCCGTCATGCGTTAAATTTTGCTTCTTTCGGGAAAGCAAGTCAATTGCACCATTACTTATGTAAAATAAAAAAAATTAGAGAAATTTAACAGAACTATATTTCAACTTAGTTGAGATTGATTTCATGATGTGATGACGTCACGCAAGAAGAATGGCGAATTTAGCAGCAAAATCAGTAAAAATTACTTAAAATCATTAAAAACGCATGAAATAAAAACTAATTTATTTGTTACATATAAGATTGAAATATATTTCATTCGTAACACCAGCTATTATATTTTCACTCATGGTACGCACTCGTAAAAATATTGCATTGGTGTTCACTCAGTGAAATTATTATTTCAATCTTACATGCAAAACAAACAAATATCCTATATATATTGCATTATATTTCTATATGCACAAAATAATTTAAGGGGCATTCATATTACACCCATGGTCGTTCCATCTCAATCCTTATGCAAATTTGGTTCCGGACCATAATGTAACTTCCATTTCACCATAGTATTCAAAGTTCATAGGATGATTGTCCATTTTAGGTATAAAGACCCCTATTGATTTTGGGTCACAAGGTCAATGTCACAATTACCTTGAAACTGAAGACAGGTTCACCGGAATAAATGCACGTATTAATCAACCTACAGCTGTAAAATTTATATGAAAGATGAACAGCCATGTCCAATACATGACCCCTATTCACTGCTATTGATTTCAGGGTCAAAAGAGTCAAAGGTCTGTGTCAAAATGACCTTTACATTGAAAATTGTGCTTTCTTGAGCATAACTTAAGTTCCATTTGGCCCACATTGTTCAAACTCACAGAATGATTGCCATTGAATAAAAGATCCATAAATATATTGGGTTCACCATGTGAAAGGTCAATATCAAAATACCTAAATATTGTTAAAAGTTTTACAAACTATCAAAATTCATAGGATGATCACTTATATTGAGTACATTCATTTTATGCCGTTAAGAATTGGCATAAATTATGTAATACCCCTGGCATCTTTCTGTTCATCAGTCATAGCACTTTTACTTACAAGATAAAAAAAATTAATTATGGTGCTTTGGAAACAGCAACTGTATATATATATGAACTTCTTCATCTATAAAGAAGGATTGCTTTTTGAAGGAGGTAATACTTTATTCAATTCCATGCCTTACAAATGCTTCATCATAAACTAAAAAAAAATTGGGCCATATAATCCTCTACCTAGAGGTGCTCTTGTTTCCAGTAGTCAAAAAAGCAATCCATTTCATAAATAAATTTTCAAAACTGCCAATCAACAAAAAGTGTTTTCCAATTAATTTAAAGTTAATACCATAGTGAAATAATTATTTATTTACCTTTTACTCTGGGAACAAGATGGAGGTATATCACTGGATGATGTTGATGGTTCATTTGCAACTGAACATTTGTCGGGTTGAACTGCTTTAATGGTAGGCCTTTTCTTCAACAAAATATCTTCTTGATGCTGTAATAATATGATAAAATATATTTTAAATGGTGTTGCCAAATTGATGTAAACAAACTCATTAAGATAATGTATATTAAATATAATACCTAATATTAAAAAGATTAACCATCTATCATATGTAGCTGCATAAGTTTTGTAACAAATGTACAAACCTGGTGCAGGGTATTTGACAAAATCAATAATAAACCCTTTGAATAATAATTTATTGATTTCTTCAATAAATTAATATAAATTGTAATTTTATACAGTAATGAAAACAATTGTTAAACGTGCTTGTTGACTTGTGTGATTTTTTTCAACCTTTTCTAACAACTTACCCATGGTAAAAGAAGGTTTTCTAATCCCGGGAAACAGTTCCATGTCTAGGACAGCTAATTCTGGTAGCATATGAGAAAAGTAAAAAATCTTTTAATTTTGGAACCATTTTTCTTTCCCATAAATCTTTGTCTTTAAAATATTCTTTCAATAAATATATCATTAGGGTTTATCCTTCTCACTACTAAGTCACACCAATCATAATCTAAAAATATTAAGTTGTCCCTGAATTTGGTAGAAATATTTATGATTTTCTTTTTAAACATATTTTTCCATTTTCCATTTTCAAGCAGAAGTTTTTATCACTTTCAGCAGCTTCATGTATTAATTTTTTACTGTTGTTAAGGAGTGTTTTTATCTCTATTAGCCCATTTGGTCCTTCTTCAGATATAACAATTCCATCACTTGATGAGCTAAGTAAGGCCTTTCTTTATCTACTACAAGTCCAGGAATCTGTATAGTTTTTACAGTGTTGACACTTTTATTTTTATGTTCTTGTACTCAATCCTTGCATTTTCTTCCTCGTTCTGCCCTCGGATTGTATAAATGTTTCCTTTAAATTTGAATATAACAGCCGTTTTATGATGTTAGAAGAATTATTATTTAGTGATCTACTCATTACATCTCCAAATATTGAGCTGGTTAATCTTTTCTTCCTTTTCATCATGCCATAAATATTAGATGATTGTCCCCCGAGTTTTTTTTCTATTTCATCTATTTTCACATTCATAATCTCTGTCTTAAAATAATTTTCACATTCCAATTCTAAATTTTCTTTACTAATATCATCTGTGTCTATTAACACCTCTTCTCCATAATCAGCTTTTCCTTTCTTTCTCAAAATTGAGGATTCTTCCCTCTTTCTTTTTCTTCTTAAGATGTTTTCTTTCTTTTTTGAGGATTTAATAGCATTTAAAAGTTTGTTGACTCTATATTTATATGTGTTAATGAATATTTTGTCTGGTCTTTTTTCAAAAATTTGTTGAAAAGCTATGGGTGACCAAGCTGGCCCAAGTATTGATCTTAATGCAGCTCCATAGCATCTTGCATAAAATGACCCTTTAAAACACTTATTGTACATTTTTCCTCCATCAAATTTACATCGAACATTCATCCATGCTTCTGCTAAATTGCTTGTGAAATTACAGATTAATCTGTTACTTTTTTCTGCTAAACGATTCAAAATATGTACACATCTTTTAAAAGAGAATGTGTGATGGAATCAATTTTTGTTTGGAAACAACCTTCTTTTCTTAAACTTTCGGTTTCTTCTTTTGTAAGGTTCTGCATGCTGTCTCTCCAATAATCACTTTGGCAAATAATTACATCTCCAGAGTCATTTTGGAGTTCTTCAAAATCATCATTTTGGAGAACAGGTGGTAAATCATCTTTTTTATGTTTACAAAAATCAGTTGAACACATATCGTGATGACCTAAAACATGTCTTCCAGCATTTCTTATGTCTTGCCTCAATTTCTTAATTGCTTCATTTTTGTTTTCTTCTTTGCTTCGCATAATTATAGCGCATCGTACCCCGGCTGTTATCCTTCTTATGTTGTTTTTGGTGAGTCTACCTTTGCCCTTATAATGAGTTTTTTCAGATACAAGCTTCTCTAAGTTTGAGCGTAAACATTTTGTGGCATGATTGGCCACATTCTATTTTTTAAACATGCGGACCCAAATTGGAATATTTTTGATAATCGTAGCATATACAGAACTGTCACCATCTGCAATCATCTGCATATATCTTAAACCGTACTTCTTTTTCACATTCTCTGAAACCTTCCAATATTATGTCACTTTCCATCGATTGTGAAGATTGTTCCCATTTTTGAACACATTCATGTTTTACTGGTTCCTGGTTTTTAGTTGCTGCCCGACTACAAATATAACATAGTTTATTTCGTATTCCAATATGAAGCAATTTTTTGGTCTTCAATCCAAAGATTACACCTACACCACCCATTGCATTATACGTATGCTTATGACTTCTTTTTCGACCAGCCACCATCACAGACAACAGCTATTGCTGGTACACCCTGAAAATATTCATCATTTTCAATGGCAATTCTCTTCTCTTCCTCTCCAGCTTGTTTCATTTCATCCTGAAGAACATCATTCCATAATTTTCCAATTTGAGCCTCAATTTTAGAGTAAGTCCTCTCATTAATGCCTGGAATGCCCATTGTTCCCATTGACTCATTCAAGGATGAGCACCCACCACCAGTCACCATATTTCCCCAAACATATCTCAAATTAATTTCCTGTATGTTTTCATTACCTATTTTATCACTATTATCAATATTAAATTTTTCACCACATCCACAGCAAATGATAGTCAGAATGAAATAAAATCCGTGCTGTTTCTCAGAATGTAAAGAAACAACATTTTCTCCCTTAGCTGCCTTAGCCCTAGCAGAATCACACAATGCTGTGTGTGTTGTGATATCCATGACATGCTGCTGAAATTTTTTAATGTTAACTATTCTATTTCCTTCAAAGTTTGGTTTCACTGAATGTAAATACATCTTATGACTTTCCTTGTCATTTATCAGTCTATACTTTTGACTAAGTTTTGATGCTATTTGGCATACAGATATTTTCAAACTATTACTCTTTTACTGAAAATGATTCACAATTTAAGTTCTTCAATGTGTCTAGTCTTTTCTCAATAAGTTTCTGTTTCTTCCACTTTTTCAACTTTTCTACATTTATATAAAATTGTATCAGCAATAAGTATCATTTGGCATAATTTTTTTCAATATTTTTTCATTTAACTTCCTCATAACAGGTTTCAGATTTGATTGAATGATATTTTATTTTATTATATACTTATAATGGAATTTTAACTAGAAATGTGTCATCATGCCACGGATGCCCCCGCATGCAGCCAAAATTTCAGATGGTGCATTAATTATTTTTTTCATTTTAAGTTCAAAGCCCTTAAAACTTTTCAATGTTAACACAAACCATTTCCATACAATGTTATGTTCAAGGCACTGAAATTATTCAGTCTTAACCTTTTAGAAATAGCATATTGCATATTTGTAGCCAAAATAATGGCTAAAAGAATGAGTGGTGAAACTGAAAGTTCAAAATTTTTCCAACATTCAGGAAAGATAAGTTTGTCTAAAATCATTGAACCATGACCAAATTCAAACTTAAACTGCTTATTCCTAAGATGTATCTATATTATTTTCAAAGTGAAAAAGACATAACTCTGCCAAAAAATCATCAAACCATGACCAAATTCCAACTTGACCTGCCCATTCCTTTGACATATCCATATGTCAAATTAAAGTTGAATATGTGACACTGTTGGGTAGATAATGAACAGAAACTGTAAATTTCATATTATTTTCAAAGTGAAAGGGGCATTACTCTGCCAAAAATCATTGAACCATGACCAAATTTGAACTTGGCCTGGGCATTCCAAAAACATATCCATATGTCAAATTTGAGTTGAATGTGTTGTACCATTGGGGAGATAATAAACGGAAACTGAAAATTTCATATTACTTTCAAAGTAAAAGGGGCATAACTCTGCCAAAAATCATCGAACCATAACCAAATTCGAACTTGACCTGTATTTTCTCATGACATATCCATATGTCAAGTTTGAATTGAATGTGTCCAACCGTTCTTAAGATAATGAACGGAAACTGAAATTTCATATTATTTTCAAAGTAAAAAGGGCATTACTCTGCCAAAAATCATCGAACCATGACCAAATTCAAACTTGACCTGTATTTTCTCATGACATATCCATATGTCAAATTTGAGTTGAATATGTCCAACCGTTCTTAAGATAATGAACGGAAACTGATGATGACGGAATGACAGAATGACGGAATGACGGAAGGACGGAATGACGGAACAGGGTAACACTATATGCCCCGGCCATTACATGGCGGGGGCATAATAAATACTGATAAAATAAAATGTTTAATTTTCATTTTATACATTTTCATTTTAAAAATTAAATTTTTCAATAAATTGAACAATATTTTATGTATTTTCATTGGTGTCTTGTCACAATGACTTCTACTTCTTACATAAATGAGCTGGGTCACTTTAACAAGAAATATATGCAAAGATATTTAAGAAATATACTTTGAAATAAATTGAGAATTGTGTTTTTATGCTATTATCATTCCGATTTTACTGAAAAACGTTTAAACGCTTTTTAATTTGGGTCATTTGTTTACTATTGGAAGTGCTCGAATAATCTGAAATTTGGCCCAAAGATTAGTGGTGTAAACCTAAATCAATTTGTGCATTTATCTGTAAAAAATATTTTCAGTCCCGTAATATAAAAAAAACTCAGTGGAGTCCCTTTAACTTTTAAAGAAATATTAGGCCAAATAAAAAAATATGTCTGGTTCAGGAAACATTTAGGAGGGTAGGGATTTGTTTTTTTTTTGTTTTTTTTAATAGTCTTATTTTCCATTTTGGGATGTGTTGCTTGCTTAAACAGAGATTGTAAACAATCATTGCCAACACCATATTGTAAGTTCCACCAATGAATGGTATTGTTAAAGAAATATATTAAAATGATCACTGTCAACAAGTTAAGAATGACACTAGCAAACAGTTTAGCATCTTTTCGCTTGAAGCAGCTCTCGTAAATGAATCACTTTTATCAAACAAATGCCCTAAAACATGTTACTTTACCTTCCAAAATGTTGCCCCTTGCATGGCCGTTGACATCTCACACTTCACATCGTATAATACTTATAATTTTTTTTGAGATTGGCCAAACATTATTTAAGTTGACTTAAACAATTCATGTACTTAAAAGTTTATTAATTAACTCATATCAAATATTTGAAACAATGAACAGCAAAATTCATTGCTTCTTCATATTCCCAAATATTGAAGTTTATAAACTTTTTGTAACCAAAAAATTATGTAGTGAAAATATAAAAAAATAGTTTAGGGTAGGTGGTAAAAAATAGGGTATGTCGGGTTCCCTGAACCAGACATATTTTTTATTTTTGGCTAATATCAAAGTTTCACTTCTACATAAGTTCTGCTATATATATATATACAATGTATATATATTTAAATGGCTGGATGATACAGTAAATTCTTATGTAAGATGTTACTTTGACATGTAACATTTTAACTATTTAATCGTTCATTGGTGTATCGCAAAGCAGTTTGCGTATTGCTCCTCTGTATGTTGAAACGTATGTTATTGTCTGTACCCTGACAATACACAGTCATATTCATATTACTAGTCTATTATATTATAGGCACATACAAGCAAATATGTATTTTAAAAATATTTTAAAATAAGCAAATGATACTAATTGCTGACCAGCACGACAGTATCTCCCACAATATTTGTTGAACTTTCTATTGTGCTGACCAGGCCTATTTCTCCGATTAGTCATGTTGAATGTTTTAATTTCACAATTACACAGTAATATAAATATTTAATATCACAAATTATCCAAAATAATGTCACAAAACAGTTGAAACAAATCACTACAACACAGGCACAAAAGCTTAATTAAACACTCGTTATAAAATGATGTTTTGGTCACTGTAGCACACCATATGACCATGTGGTTTCATTCATGAATTCACACTTCAACAAGCATGTTATTATTTATTTTTCTTAATAGAACAAGTTTACATAAATAACATATAACAATAATTAAATTTATATATTTACCTATACTTTTCATTCATAACTTAATGAAAAAAACAATACTCATAATAAGTTATACAATTTACCGTTATATTATGATTTCCATACCAAAATAAACAAACCAACACGTTACATGTCAACACCCATGCTTACATATATCTATCAGCAAAAATAGGGCGAATTTACACATGGATGTTAGAGAAAAAGTTAATGTTATAAATATCTGAAAATTGTGCCGGCGATCACCAACTGGCTAGTACCTACCATCAACAAAATATAACACTTTCATGTCACCGTTGAAATGCCGCCATGTTTTAGTAAACAGGGTTGTTTGATTAACTTGCGGGGTTATGTTCTGCAAACTAACCGCTTCTGAAAATGGAAATGAAATTGCGCGTGAATTATAGGAAAATAGGATATAAAATCAATGTATTACTTTTTCATCGCTAAACGATTAATAATGATATAATTTTAAGATCTTGTCCTTTACTTTCAAACATATTTATTATTAAAAAGGTACACCTGCCATGCAATAGGCCCTATATCGTTAACTCGATTAAGTATATTTTTTATAGATAATGTGAGAATCAACAAAACCGGAAATAAACCGCTTTACAAATACGGATTATAAATACATAAAAAAAAAATCTTTACATTCGGCGTTTTGTGTAACATCTGCTTTGCTAAAAAGAAAATTCAATTTATATTTAATTTAGATTGAATAAAAGAAGTACCTTGAATGTATAAATCATAAAGATATTATCTTTATATTTAATACTCAATGTGCGTATTAACATATGAGATTGTGAACAGTCTCCATTTCCTGCCGCAATAGAAAAATGTAAACATTGAAATACTGACAGATACTATTAAACAATTAGAAAGATCAAGCCATGAAATCCCAATGAAATGGTAATATTTGATAAGATACATATCAGTGTTAAATGAAATGCGTCTTTTTATTATATGTTATTGGCTTACATTCGCGAGATTTTGTGTTGAAATGTCTTTATGCACGGGCATGAAAAAACAAAAATGGCGAAGATAAGGTGTGCATGTTCCTCGTGGCTTTCAAATTTATTCGGTAAATAATGAGAAAATCTCTTTTTAGACTTTTGTCGTCACTTCTTTGGTGTGTATTTATTAATTTTACATTCATATTGTGCGTAATATCGTAAAGGTATGTTAGTATTTGGTCTTCGGAATTTAGGCATATTTTATTATATTTTTCAATAAACATACCAATAGCAAGATACATTTTTTAATGAAAGTAAACTATTTACAACAACATCTTTCTAACTCATTCATTTCACAATGTCTTGGAACTAGGAAGCCTTTCATTTCTTTGCTTTCATATTTGCATGTTATTTCTCATATGTTATGAAAACTAATGCGGAATCACCTTAAATAGAATAAGAAACATTTTTTTATATTTTACAATGAGGACTACCTAGATTTGCCAAGGACTACCTAATCCTCAAAGTAGGTAGTCCTTCTGACTACCTCTAAAAAAAGTTAGTGTCAAGTCCTGGAATAATGATAAATCTATAAAATCGCGAAAATACATGACACTGAAATTATTGGCACTATATCTGTCAGTTTATCCTATAAAATTATCAACTCGCTACATTAAACAGTTATTCAAAGAAACCTAAATGATATTAACATTTTTACTGTTTGAAATTACCTGTTTGGTCCTTCTTTCAAATGATTTTCATGCAAAGTTTTGAATCGTGTGGAGTTGCAAATGGTTTACATTTCAAAGGGAGGTAACATACATGAATTCGGGGTATAGATGGATACCGAAAATAAGCTATTTTCGCGAAAATAAGATCGCGGCTACGAAAATAAGATTTATTTTTAAAATAGTGCATTTATCTGTTTGAATAATTATGTAAGTAATATACTTATGCATTCATTGAATGATTTTACAGCAAATTAAAATTTCAGAACAAAAAAAATATTTTAAAAAGTGAAGTTTGAGCCGAAAATACTCTCACGAAAATAGCTCAAATTGCCGTGTAAAGCAAAAATAAGATCGGGTCTACGAAAATAAGATTTATATTTGATATAATGTATTTAAAACGTATTTTTTGCTGTTAATAATTGATTTGTATGAATGAAATGATAAATTTCAGAACCAAAAAAAAAAATTAAATGTGAAGTTTGAGCCCAAAATACCATCGTATGAAAATAGCTCAAATTAATTGCCGTGTAAAGCGAAAATAAGATCGGGTCTACGAAAATAAGATTTATTTTTGATATAATGTATTTAAACGTGTTTTTTGGTGTTATCAAATGATTTGTATGAATGAAATAATAAAGATTGAAATGTTTTTTAATGAAATATTAGACGTCTGTGCGGCAAATATGGTACATATAAATCCGTGGGTAAATATTCCAAATTTAGTATAGAAAGAACGCATTCATGAACATATAACCAAAATTGCGTCTACGAAAATATAGGCTATATAAGATTTACATGGTTCATAACTTATATTAAAAATAGTATTAACTTTATTTTTAATGATTTTGCAAATAAATTTTAAGAATTAAATGTTCTCTTATAAGATAAGAAATGTTTGTGGTGAAAAAGTTTCAAAATAAAAGAAAGAACAAGTGCAAAAATAACCTGAAACAACAACTACGAAAATAAGATCTAAATCTATATAAGAATATGTACCGTACGAAAATAACATCTAAACAGTACTCTACGAAAATAAGATCTGTAAGGAAATAAAAGCTGTATGAAAATAATGTTAATTAATACGAAAATAAGGTTACGAAAATAAGATCTATTAGTGTAGTAAATAAAGTCTGTAAACCAATTAAAACCTGTATGAATTGATATTTATTTGAAAATAAAACCTGTATGGAAATACTATATGTACGAAAATAAGATCCTATTGAAAATAAATCTATACGAAAATAAGATCTGTATGAAAATAATGTCTGTATTCGACTAAGATTTTTACAAATGTAAGATCTGTGAAATGAAAATAATATCCTTACAAAAATAAGATACATATAAAAATAAGATATGTAAAAATTATTACCTGTATGAAAATACTATTTATACGAAAATAAGATCCTATAGGAAATGTGATCTATACGAAAAAAAAGATCTGTAAGAAAATAATACCACGAATATAAGATCAATACGAAAATAAGATATGTATGAACATAATGTCTGTTTTCGAATAAGATTTATACGAAAATAACATCTGTACGAAAATAATGTGTGTATAGGAATAAGATTTACTCGAAAATAATATTTATATGATAATAATATCTGGATCAGAATGATGTGAAAAACGACTCTATATGAAAACGGCTGTCTTTATAAAATAAAATCTTTAACGACAATAAGATCTGTGTATAAATATATCTGTATGATAACAAAAATCTTTAAAAAAATAAGATATCTATATTTTGATATGGTGACGGTGATAAATCGCCAATAAACACCTTTAATGATGGGCTTTAACAAGTGTGTGTCAATTACGACAAGTGCGAAAATCCAATAATCCAATCATCGTATTAGCGCATTGATTGCTGCCGATAGCCATGTGCACGTGTTATACATTGTATATTTTTTTTCTTCTCTCAAATAAAAAGATCTTGTCCGTGCATTATCTAATTAAAGCACTAAAGCAATAAAGTTATATACTAACCATTTCTATTTTAAAAAGGGAATGTCCACTCATTCCCAATTCACGTACCAATTATGGCCAAATTACACTACAAAAAGGATGCCCTTTTTACCATTTTTGAGAAAGAAAAGAACAAGGACAAGCAAAAAATCAACATAAATGTATTTGTATCTTTTAATTAACAGTGATTTAATTGACATAACTGTAAGTTAATTTGTTACGCCGGCTTAACAAAATAAAAAAATCATTTTCATTAAATGAAGAAAAATGTTACGCCGGCTTAACAAATTCTCAAATCCAAGTTGTATTACAGCACAAAATTTCAAACTGTAAGTTGAATTGTTATGCCGGCTTAACAAAATCAAAAAATCATTTTCATTAGATGAAGAAAAATGTTACGCCGGCTTAACAAATTTTCAAATCCAAGTTGTATTACAGCACAAAATTTCAAACTGTAAGTTGAATTGTTACGCCGGCTTAACAAAATAAAAAAATCATTTTCATTAGATGAAGGAAAATGTTACGCCAGCTTAACAAATTCTCAAATCCAAGTGGAATTACAGCCTGTAAGTTAAATTGTTACGCCAGCTTAACAAAATCAAAAAAATATTTTCATTAGATGAAGAAAAATGTTACGCCGGCTTAACAAATTCTCAAATCAAATAAATATTACAAAGAAAATTTCAAACCGTGAGACAAATTGTTATGCCGGCTTAACAAAATGGAAAATAATTTTAATTGTAAGATAAATAATTTCCATTAGATGAAGAAAAATGTTACGCCGGCTTAACAAATTCTCAAATCCAAGTGGAATTACAGCACAAAATTTCAAAGTTAATTTGTTACGCCGGCTTAACAAAATAAAAAAATCATTTTCATTAGATGAAGAAAAATGTTACGCCGGCTTAACAAATTCTCAAATCCAAGTGGAATTACAGCACAAAATTTCAAACTGTAAGTTAATTTGTTACGCCGGCTTAACAAAATAAAAAAATCATTTTCATTAGATGAAGAAAAATGTTACGCCGGCTTAACAAATTCTCAAATCGTTGTATTACAGCACAAAATTTCAAACTGTAAGTTAATTTGTTACGCCGGCTTAACAAAATCAAAAAATCATTTTCATTAGATGAAGAAAAATGTTACGCCGGCTTAACAAATTCTCAAATCGTTGTATTACAGCACAAAATTTCAAACTGTAAGTTAATTTGTTACGCCAGCTTAACAAAATCAAAAAATCATTTTCATTAGATGAAGAAAAATGTTACGCCGGCTTAACAATTTCTCAAATCAAATAAATATTTCAAAGAAAATTTCAAACTGTGAGACAAACTGTTATGCCGGCTTAACAAAATGGAAAATAATTTAAATTGTAAGATAAATAATTTCCATTAGATGAAGAAAAATGTTACGCCGGCTTAACAAATTCTCAAATCCAAGTGGAATTACAGCACAAAATTTCAAACTGTAAGTTAATTTGTTACGCCGGCTTAACAAAATAAAAAAATCATTTTCATTAGATGAAGGAAAATGTTACGCCAGCTTAACAAATTCTCAAATCCAAGTGGAATTACAGCCTGTAAGTTAAATTGTTACGCCAGCTTAACAAAATCAAAAAAATATTTTCATTAGATGAAGAAAAATGTTACGCCGGCTTAACAAATTCTCAAATCAAATAAATATTACAAAGAAAATTTCAAACTGTGAGACAAATTGTTATGCCGGCTTAACAAAATGGAAAATAATTTTAATTGTAAGATAAATAATTTCCATTAGATGAAGAAAAATGTTACGCCGGCTTAACAAATTCTCAAATCCAAGTGGAATTACAGCACAAAATTTCAAAGTTAATTTGTTACGCCGGCTTAACAAAACAAGAGCTGTCCGTAAGACAGCGCGCTCGACTTTTTTATTGCTTGCCAATAAAAAAAGTTTTTGCAGTAAAAGGCAATACAAGAATCTCTGTATTTTTAAAGTGAACAATGGCCATGAGCATTAAGATATTTAGTGAAGAATTATTTTACTGAATTGTGTGATACCCTTGAACACTGCAGCAAAGTTTGAAATGTTTAAGTCAAAAGAGGGCTGGTAAGAAAGAAAAAAAAACTGAGTTGAGCCTTAAATAAATTTAATTCTAAGTCGATAAAAGGCCTTAATTTTTAAAACAAATCCTTGACAGAGTTACCTTCTCTTGCGTACAGATGGGGTAATGATGTGAAATAGCATTAAAAGTTTCAAAGCAATATCTCAAAGGGTTAAGGCAATAAGTGGATTTTACCCATATTCAATGTATTTTCTAAGTCAAAAAGGGGCATAATTCTGTCAAAAACCTTGACAGAGTTATGTCCTCTTGTCTGTTGATGAAGGTCGTGATGGTAAACAAGTATGGTCAGTTTCAAAGCAATACCTCCAATGGTTTTGAAAATAAAGTGAGGTGGTACAAAAACTTAACCAAGCTCAATACACTTTCTAAGTCAAAAAAGGGCCATAATTCTGTCAAAAACCTTGACAGAGTTATGTACTCTTGTCTGTAGATGGAGGTTATGATGGTGAACAAGTATGGTAAGTTTCAAAGCCATACTTGTAATACTTCTGAAATAAAGTGGGGTGGTACGAAAAACTTAACCAAGGTGTGACGCCAACGCCGACGCCGGGCGAGTAGGATAGCTCCCCTTTTCATAGAAAAGTCGAGCTAATAAAAAAATCATTT